GCTGTACCTGTGTAACACTGCTGTGACATTGTACCTCCCGTGTGTCCTGCTGTACCTGTGTAACACTGCTGTGACATTGTACCTCCCGTGTGTCCTGTTGTACCTGTGTAACACTGTGTGATGTACCTCCGTGTGCCGGCTGTACCTGTGTAACACTGCTGTGATGTACCTCCCGTGTGTCCTGCTTGTACCTGTGTAACACTGCTGTGATGTACCTCCCGTGTGTCCTGTTTACCTGTGTAACACTGCTGTGATGTACCTCCCTGTGGTCCTGCTCTACCTGTGTAACACTGCTGTGATGTACCTCCCGTGTTGTCCTGCTGTACCTGTGTAACACTGCTGTGATGTACCTCCGTGTGTCCTGTTACCTGTGTAACACTGCTGTGATGTACCTCCGTGTGTCCTGTACCTGTGTAACACTGCTGTGACATTGTACCTCCCGTGTGTCCTGCTGTACCTGTGTAACACTGCTGTGATGTACCTCCCGTGTGTCCTGTTGTACCTGTGTAACACTGCTGTGATGTACCTCCCGTGTGTCCTGCTGTACCTGTGTAACACTGCTGTGATGTACCTCCGTGTGTCCTGCTGTACCTGTGTAACACTGCTGTGATGTACCTCCCGTGTGTCCTGCTGTACCTGTGTAACACTGCTGTGACATTGTACCTCCCGTGTGTCCTGCTGTACCTGTGTAACACTGCTGTGACATTGTACCTCCCATGTCCTGCTGTACCTGTGTAACTGCTGTGATGTACCTCCGTGTGTCCTGCTGTACCTGTGTAACACTGCTGTGATGTACCTCCGTGTGTCCTGCTGTACCTGTGTAACACTGCTGTGACATTGTACCTCCGTGTGTCCTGCTGTACCTGTGTAACACTGCTGTGATGTACCTCCGTGTGTCCTGTTGTACCTGTGTAACGGTGCTGGCGCGTTGTACCTCCCCTGTGTCCTGCTGTACACCACGTAACACTGCTGTGATGTACCTCCGTTGTCCTGCTACCTGTGTAACACTGCTGTGATGTACCTCCGTGTGTCCTGCTGTACCTGTGTAACACTGCACACGCACTGTACCTCCCGTGTGTCCTGCTGTACCTGTGTAACACTGCTGTGACATTGTACCTCCCGTGTGTCCTGCTGTACCTGTGTAACACTGCTGTGACATTGTACCTCCCTGTGTCCTCCTGTACCTGTGTAACACTGCTGTGATGTACCTCCGTGTGTCCTGCTGTACCTGTGTAACACTGCTGTGATGTACCTCCCGTGTGTCCTGCTGTACCTGTGTAACACTGCTGTGATGTACCTCCCGTGTGTCCTGCTGTACCTGTGTAACACTGCTGTGATGTACCTCCGTGTGTCCTGCTGTACCTGTGTAACACTGCTGTGATGTACCTCCCGTGTGTCCTGTTGTACCTGTGTAACACTACTGTGATGTACCTCCCGTGTGTCCTGCTGTACCTGTGTAACACTGCTGTGATGTACCTCCCGTGTGTCCTGCTGTACCTGTGTAACACTGCTGTGACATTGTACCTCCCGTGTGTCCTGCTGTACCTGTGTAACACTGCTGTGATGTACCTCCCGTGTCCTGCTGTACCTGTGTAACACTGCTGTGATGTACCTCCCGTGTGTCCTGCTGTACCTGTGTAACAGGGTGCTGTGACATTGTACCTCCCGTGTGTCCTGTTGTACCTGTGTGACACTGCTGTGACATTGTACCTCCCGTGTGTCCTGCTGTACCTGTGTAACACTGCTGTGACATTGTACCTCCCGTGTGTCCTGCTGTACCTGTGTAACACTGCTGTGATGTACCTCCGTGTGTCCTGCTGTACCTGTGTAACACTGCTGTGATGTACCTCCCGTGTGTCCTGCTGTACCTGTGTAACACTGCTGTGATGTACCTCCCGTGTGTCCTGCTGTACCTGTGTAACAGGGTGCTGTGACATTGTACCTCCCGTGTGTCCTGCTGTACATGTGTAACAGGGTGCTGTGGCACTGTACCTCCCCTGTGTCCTGTTGGACATGTGTGACACTGCTGTGACATTGTACCTCCCGTGTGTCCTGCTGTACCTGTGTAACACTGCTGTGACATTGTACCTCCCGTGTGTCCTGCTGTACCTGTGTAACACTGCTGTGATGTACCTCCATGTGTCCTGCTGTACCTGTGTAACACTGCTGTGATGTACCTCCGTGTGTCCTGCTGTACCTGTGTAACACTGCTGTGATGTACCTCCCGTGTGTCTTGCTGTACATGTGTAACAGGGTGCTGTGACATTGTACCTCCCGTGTGTCCTGCTGTACATGTGTAACAGGGTGCTGTGGCACTGTACCTCCCCTGTGTCCTGTTGGACATGTGTAACACTGCTGTGATGTACCTCCCGTGTGTCCTGCTGTACATGTGTAACAGGGTGCTGTGACACTGTACCTCCCCTGTGTCCTGTTTGACATGTGTAACACTGCTGTGTGTGCCCTCGCTGTGACGTGTTACCTCCTGCTCAGTCTTCCAGGCTCCTAGTCCACACAGTATCTCTTCAGCCCCTACAGGATCTTCGGTTTGTTTTTTCCCTGGAGTGGATGTCATGTACAGGCCCCCGGTGCGTGCAGCTGCCCTAGAGGGTCCTGGCAGGGGTGGCCTGCCCGCATTTCCGGAGGTGCAGACTATCTAACCTGAGACAGCACTCGCCCCTCCCCGGTGATGGCTCCTGTGCCCTCCCCAGGACTGTGAGAATCCGTCATTCTGCATGACTTGTGAGTTTTACTTTTCGTTCCCTGATGAGTGGTGCGGTCCTGCTGAGATGGCCATGCTCCCTGGTCTGCATCCACCAGTTAGAGCAGCTCTCAGAAGGGCGTGGTAGTGAGGCGGGGGATGAAAGTGAGGACCGGGGCTCTGCTGCGGGCAGGTCCCCCAGGGCTAAGGTCAGGCAGGCGGAGTCAGGGGCAAAGGGCGTACAGGTGGCTAAAGATGGACTCAGAATGACTTTCCAGGGAGCCATGACTCAAACCAGTGCCCATATGGGATGCTGGCCCTGCAGGTGGCCCCAACGTCAGGTACTGAACGTCCCGGCGGGGAGAAGTTATTTGAGGGACACTGAGACCTCTCGACCACTGGCTCACTCCCCAGATGCCCACAACCGCCAGGGGCTGAGCCAGGCTGGAGCTGGGCCCTCAATCCAGGTCGCCCACGTGAGTGACACGGACTCCGTCGCTTGAGCCACCACTGCAGCTTCTTGGGTCTGCACAGGCAGGGAGCCGGAATGGAACCCAGGCACTCGGGGTGCAGCACAGGCCATCCCAGCAGGGGGTCTGAAACCCAAAGGATGTTTTAAACAAGGTTGCTTTAGAAGACTGTGCACCCAGCGGCTTCCCAGTGTTGCCTTCTATTTTAATTTAAAAACTCTTGTGCCTGGTGAACCTTTTTTCACTAGATGGCCTCAGTTTTGTTTTTTAAAGTCCGTGCAAGCCGCTGCCCCTACCTGTCACCCCCTCCCGCAGCCACACCCGAGACCCAGCCCCCCGCCCCGCTCTGCGTCACAGCCCTCTCACTGGCTGCTGAGGGCTTCACCCAGCCCCACGAGCCCAGACGCCCAGGTGACCGTCAGCCCCTGTGGACACCGGGGGCTCCTGTCTCACAGAAACACCTGCCACTCCCGGGGAGGCCCGGCCATGGAGAAGCTGGACGAGAAGCTGCGGCCGGCTCCCCTGCACGTCCCGCCGTGGACAGAGGTGTGTGCGTCCCCTCCGTGGTGTCTGTCTCGGCTGTGGAGGTGTGTAGCCTGTGCTACTGACACCGCCTCCGTCTGCCGTGGCACCCCCAGGCGCTCGCCTCTCTCTTCCATGGGGTTCCGGCACCTCATCCGCTCCAAGGTGCCCTCCCCAACTCCCCGGCATTGGCAGCTGGTGCCCAAGCTCACTGCTCCGCAACAGTGGACACTGTCCAGGCCTGTGCCTGTGCCTCAGCACCCCTGCCCGCCCCAGGGCCGCTGGTCAGCCTGGCCTCACCTGTGTCCTGGGACGGGACAGCCCCCTCCGCTTGCGCCCCTGACCACCATGTTCTCAGTGACCCCCCCACCTGCGGCCCCACGGCCTCTCATCCGGGCTCTCAACCAGAGCTCAGCCTGCACGTGACCTGGGCCCGGCCTGCGGACTTAATATAACACCCGGTCAGAGCTCCCCACGCAGGTGGAATCCAGGCCCCTCGGAGGAGCCCTCCCAGCCCGTGCGCCCGCTTTTTAAGGAGCCAGGCAGGTGTGATGCATTCTCATCCTGCCCTGCTCCTGGGAGAGCCCCGGGCACCGCACCTGGCGTTGGCTGCCACGCAAGTTCCCCAGCCCCCGCCCAGCCCGGCCGCGCTGCACACCCCGGCACTGGGGCCCCGCCCGGGTCCCACCGCACTCAGCGAACCCGCAGCCGACCGCAGGGAACGCCCGGTTCTGAGTCAGCCTCTGCGGTCTCGTTTCCCGCCGGGCGCTTGCCCGGAACCGGGTTCTGCGGGGCGCAGTTCGCACCCAGTGGATGCGGGGCAGCCTTGGTCCGCGCGCCCGGCTTCCCGTCCGGAGAGCTGAACCCTGCATTCTGGAGACGAAAGTCTCAGACGCAACTTGAAAAAAAAAAAAAAAAAAGTTGGCGCCCGGCGGCACGGGCGGAGAGCGAGCCGCGCCGCCGGTCCAGCACTGCCGGCCACCAGGCTGGGCCTCGCGCGCCGGCCTGGGTCAGGGGTCCCCGCGCCGTCCGGCTCTCGGCGTCCCCGGCCGAGCGAGGAGGGGCGGTCCCGGGCGCGCGGCGCTGCGCCCCGCACGCGGTAGGGGTCGCTGCGGCGCTCCCGCCGCACGGAGTAACGGGGCGGGCGCGGAGAAAGGAAGCCCGCGGGGCGGCGCAGGGCGCGGGGCGCAGGGCGCAGCGCACTCCCGCTCGGGGCGGCGGCGGCGGCGGAGCCCAGGGCTCGCTCAGGACACACAGGCGGGCGGGTCGGAGCGCGCGCAGCCCGCGAGCTGGCCAGCGAGAGGAGCCGCGGGGGGCGCGCCCCGGGAGGGCCCCCGCAGGCGCGCAGGATGCCCCATGAAGAGGGGCCGCCGCTGCAGAGGCCCCGCTACGGCTGTAAGTGCGGGGCGCGGGCCGCGGGACCGGCGGAGGAGTGGGCTTCGGCCTCCAGGGGCCTGGCGGAGTCTCCAGCGCCCTCCCCGAATTCCTGTCCGCTGCCGGCAGGCGGCAGCCCGACCCCCACTCCAAACTCGGAGAGGGCACAGGGCTGCGCCCTGGGTCGGCGGGGCGGGGGTCCCGGGGGTGTCAGGTGAGGATTTGGGCCGCGGCGGCTCGGGCCGGGGGACGCCGTTGGGATCCGATTCTTCCCGCCCAGGCCGGGCGAGTCCGCTCTCGCGGGCGGCTACAGGTGGCCCGGGCGCACTGGGGGCCCCCGCGGGCGCCGCCTCCGGCCGCGCTCCCTGGACTTCACCGCGCCGAGCCGGCCGGGGCCCAGGTGAGTTCCCCCGGCTGCCGAAGCCGGAAGGGGCAGCCCCGCGCCCCTGGCGCCCGCGCGGGGCCGGCGGCGGGGCCCGGAGCCCTCGTGACCCGGCGAGCCCGTGCCGGGGGGCTGCTTCGGGAGGAGGTGGCTCGGACCAATCGCAAGCGGACTGAGCCAGATGAGCGCGGACCACGTGGCTCCGTGCGCAGAGTTCAGAGTCCTAAACCTGTGCCAGGAAGTATTTCCTTTAAAGCAAACAGAAGGTTGGGCCTCTGCCCCGGGTGTCCCCGGCCCCGGCCGGCCTCGGTGGCGCTGCTGGGGCAGGTCGTGCACCGGGCGGCCCTGGCGCCCGCCCCTTTCCCTCCCCTGTCTTCTTGTCAGGGTCTCTTCCATGCTGGCCGGTTTCCCGCGGGACCCCTGCCGTCGGCGAGGCGGGGCCTGGGTCTGCTGAGCAGGCCCCAGCGCTCTGCCCTGACTTGGAAAACTAGCAGCCCCTGCGTGCTGGGCGGCAGGGTGGGGCAGCGGCTTCCTGTGTCCCTGCAGCCTGCACTGAGGGGCTGGCGCTCCCCATCGGTCCCCGGGGTGGTGCGGCACAGGGGCCGCGGCTGGTACTGGCTGGCCACTTAGCAGTAAAACACGGGGGACATTTGGGTCAGCGGGCCAGTAGCCTGCTGTGTTTAAACCAACACCTGATGCCTTTGACAGGTGCATGAGTGGGGCGCTCTCATGCTGTGTTGGCAAGACACCACCCCAGGGCTACCCCTGAGTGTGGACAGGCTCCTGCACCGGGCAGTCAGGCCGGGGGCAGTTCAGCTTCTGGTGGTTGCCTTCCGGCCCCCGTCACCGTTCCTGGGACGGCGATGCCGCTGGCTGCTCTCAGGGCGGCCGGGGGAAGGGCTGGGCTTTTTTCGTGGTCTGGAGGGCACAGTTCCAGCGGAACCTCATCAGGCTCGCTCCAGCTCTTCGAAGTCAGCACCTCTGCAGGGCTTAACCTCTGCTGCAGGGCTAGATGTCCGCGAGATGCTTGTGACATGACTGGGTGGCTCAGGTTGGGCCGTTGCAGCCGCTCGGGCCTGGCCTCTTTGGCACTGTCCGCCTGGCCCCTGCGCCGGCGCCGGGTCTCAGAGCTCTCAGCCTGCTGGGCCCTGATACAGCAGGGCTGAGGAAGTCCGGTTACCGTGTTTGACTCCGGCTGCGTGGGCCATCCTGGGATGTCTGTGCCTGCAGGGCAAGGCTGCAGGCCGCTCAGCCACGCTCGGCCACGCAGTGCCGGTGGGCGGGGAGCGGGTGCACACACTTCCGTTTCGGTCTGACTTGCAGTAGCTTCTGTGCCGTTGTCACAAGCTGTGGGGGATCTGCCAAGTTAATTCGGAAGACGCCCGCAGTTCTGTCCCAGTTCCTTGTGTGCTCACAGGCCCGGTGGGCGCGGGGCGGGTTCCGTGGCAGGTGATTTCACTCCTTGTGGGCTGTCCGTCAAGGCTCAGGCGCCCGCCCGCTGCTGGTCACGCCCCTGCGGGTCCCTAACGGCTGTGGCTTCCTAGCCCTGCCAAACCCAGATCCTTCCTCTCGTGAGACGCGTTGTGAAAGTCGCAGTCAGCGGGGCTTCCCTGTCGCTTCCTGCAGAAAGCACACCCTGTGTCTCGTGCAAGTGGATCCCGGGGGGTGCAGGTTGAGGCCGTCGGAGGGCGTGGCACCAAGTTCTGAACCAGGAGTGTGCACACCTGTGCTAAGCGGCCGAGGAGGCCTCGGTGGGCCTGTGTCCGGGGCCTCCCTCGGGTGCCGGTGCTGCAGTTAAGTTTCCTGAAGGGCCTGGGAGGTCAGCAGTGGGAGTGTTGTTTTAGTACGCTTTTAGCTCTAATTACACGCGCTCTTAGCCACTGTGACTGGCTTGGGGGGGGGCCTGAGCTTGCACTGCTGAGTAGGTTGCGGACTTGGTCGTCTCCAGGGTATCAGCCGTCCCTGTTGTCTCTGGAGCCATGGATGGGCTGCTGTCCCCGTCCCCCGGGCGCCACAGCTGGTCCCTGGCTCCTGCAGCTAGAAGGCAGATGTGCAGGTAGCCCGTGGTCACCACAGTCCCCGTGGTAGCACAGACACGTGGAGGATCGCACAGGGGCAGGTGAGCCAGCTGGGCAGGCTGTGGGACAGGGCGTGAAGTCTCCGCTCCGGGCTGCTATTCATGGGCTGTTGTCACCTGCTCACTGTCCCCAAGAGCACCCGTGGTCTCGCCGTCTGAGGTCCTGGGCAGCTGGCGGCGGGACTGGCAGCCAGGAGCCTTCCCCTGGGGCCACTGCTCTCTGTCTTTCAGACGTTTGGCTTCTGCGGACGCCTGCGGCCGTGTGGACGGTGCACGCTTTTGGAAATAGGAGCCCGCTGTTCTATGCGCTGCTCCCCACCAAGCACAGCCAGGCTTCCCACCCCACTCCAAGGGCCCCCCGGGCCACTCCTGGCATGACGGCTTGTGACGCACGTGTGTCACGCGCCGGACGTGCCTCTGGCGGGGAGGGGGCAGGTGGCCAGGAGCGGGTGGCGTGGGTGGCCGGGCGGCTCCTCGGCTGCCTGCTGTCCTGTACAGGCGGGGTGGTGAGCAGCAGCAGATCCTCTGGAGGCTGCGTGTGGGTTTGAATTCTGACTTCCTCTGAGGGGGCGTGGCACCGATGTGTCCCGGGTGGGGGGCTCCTGGCGCAGGTGCACACAGCCACGGTGTGAGTGCCTCCTGTGCACCCAGCGTGTGGGTGAGGCAGACGCGGCTTCGCTGGTCACAGCTTTCAGGAGAACAGGAGGAGCAGCAGGTGTCTCTGCAGGCTGGCAAGGTGTCCTGGGGAGGGCAGGGCCGGTGAAGGTGACCTCGGGGAGGTACCCTGAGTGTTGCCTGGACTGTGTGTGGTTAGGTGCAGGGCGGGGCCCAGAGGGGCCGTGTGCAGAACTGGGAGGGACTGGGTCCTGGAGTCCTTTATCTGTGGGCCAAGCAGAGCAGGCTGAGTGCGGGGGAGGGGTCACTGGCACGCCTTCTCCTTATTTGAAATTCCTTAGAATGCACTTCTTTCTTCTTTGTTTTGTTGTACTTTTCTTCCCTGGGGAGAGACAGACAGATAGGTGGAGGGACACCTTCCCCTGCTGGCTCACTCCCCCCCCCCCATGCCCACGGTAGCCAGGGCTGGGCCGGGCTGGGCCAGGCGCCTGAATCTCCATCCAGGTCTCCCTTGCTTGGGGGGGGGGCGGTGTGCAGCAGCAGGAAGCTGAGCCTGAGGTGCACTGGGGCTGGGTCCAGCCCCTCCGACCTGCGATGCCGGCGCCTCAAGTGGCATCCTGATGTGGGTGGCATCTTCCTTAGGCGTCCCTGGGACCTACCCGGAGGACGCTCTCCTTAGGTGTCCCGGGCCCAGTGGCCGGGTGAAGAGGGTGGGGGGGGGCCATGGCCTCGTTGGCGGCCTCTGTGCATCTGGCCGGCAGCTCTGCCAGGCTGGGACCTGCTGGGACAGGTGCAGGTATGGGAGCATCGGGGGCCAGGGCTTCCTCGCCGCCGTCCCCTCGTCCTCTCCATTCCTCGTGGCCATTTCCTCTCCCACATGACCCTGGGCTCAGACGTGTTGGGCAAGGGCTCAGCTGAGTGTCCACTGGCCCTGCAGCTGCCTGGGCCTCCTCCCGGGCCCCTTGAGGGTCTGGCGGCCTTGTCAGCAGAGCAGGTTCAGCTGGGAGGCCACAGCAGGAGTGCGTGGCCGGAGCCGAGCCCCCACCTGGGGACCCGGCACACGCCCCGGCATCGGCTTCTGCACGGATTCGTGTCTGTCTGATGAAAGTTACTGTGTGGCAGTGTTAAGGCGCTTTTCGCTCCTGGGGGACACGGGCGTGGTCTGCAAGGGCGAGCCTGGAACCTGCTGACCGGTCAGGTGAGGTCAGCGCTGGCTTCCTGGAGGCCTGGAGGTGCGGGCCTGGACACCCGGAGGTCAGGTCGCCCTCCTCCATTCCCCCAGGACAGGTCAGAGTGTGCGTTCGCTCCGTTCCGGAAGGGTCCCGCGTGTTAGCAGCGACTTGAGTGCTTGGGCGCGGGTGCCCCCAGGGCGCCCTCCCCTTGCAGGGGTTCCAGGTGTGGGGCTGTGGGCGGCAGAGGCGGGGAGGGTGGGGCCCCAGAGATGGAGACGTCGCTCGTCCTTTCTCCGTTAAGCAGAGGGGTTCCTGAGTGTTCCGTGTGGATCCCACATTCTGTCTGTGAGTGCGGTCTTGGTTAGGCAGTGTCGGCATTGCCTGTCTGAGCCCGGCTGCGTCAGGGAAGCGTGGCGCAGCGTCGTGCCCGCGGCCCGGCACCTGCACCCGAGGGTTCTGGGTCAGTACTTGCCGCTGCTTCAGGTTTTCTTTGATTTGTGTGTACTGTGCCGTGTTAGAATGAGAAAATGCTCTGGTCTCTGCCAGGAAGACCTCTTAAAAAAAAAAATAAAAAGATTTGACTTATTTGAAAAGAGAGCGAGAGATGTCGTCCATCGTTCTCCAATAGCCAAGGCTGGGCCAGGCCGAGGCCTGGAGACTGTAATTCCATGGTGTGGTAGGGGACTAACCTTGCTGGGGGCAGGGCCTGGTCGGGGGCCTGGGGCTGGGGGCTGACCTTGCTGGGGGCTGACCTTGCTGTGTGTGGGGGGGGGGG